GTTATATATGTATATATATATATATATATACATATATATTGAGAGAGAGAGATAGAGAGATTTAAGCCAAAAGAAGATATATTGTAAGTATGAAATAAAAAATAAAAAAATCCTAACATAAGGAAAATTTAACAGGTCGCCATGAATTAATACTGCAAGGTCACAAGGAGGACTATTCTCAATACTAGTCTCCATAGAAGCCAAACCACTTTTAGATAAAAATTCCGCAGGGAAGTTTGTTTCCCTAAAACGGTATGACTGACTGATTTTGAATGAAGGCAAAAGATTGGCAATTCTTCTCAAAGTAGTAATTCCATATCAAGGGCAATGAGATACTTTGGTATAAATGTTATACGTGACCAGGGAATCAGTTTCAGTATTCACATTGAAAAACCACAATTTCTGGGCAACCTGGAGACATGCAAGCACATTGGACAGTTCCAAAAACAAAGTATTAACTGGAAGACAAGACTTTACAGAATACAGCAAGCAACGACCTTGAATGCCCCTGAAAAGACCTCCCAAACTAGCATGTCCAGTGTATAGCTTCCATCAACTTTAGCTTTGACAAAAGGAGAAATAGGCTTAGACCACCGAACCAATTGAACAAGAGTTTTAAAACTTATTTCATCCTGTGTAAGTAGTAGTTCCCCTGATATGCTGCGTACCACAAGTTACTTTAGAATTATATTTATAGAATTTCAATGCTTTATAAAAGGAAGATTTGATATGAAGACTATTTTATCATCAAAGTTGTACGAGTCAAGATATTTCATGTTATTTATCTCCATCCAAAGGAACCAGCACCCTTAAAGGGAATAAAACTTTGCAAGTGTTGGCCATTGTTCTTCCACCTCCAACTATCCATACATTGCTCCACCGAATGATAGCCATCACTAGGAATATTGATATGGAACTAGGTAGCCAAATTTTCCTAAACCACAAAAGAAATCCTGTTGGAAAATAATATATGCACAAGGGATTCCTCATCCTGTTTACCTTTTAAAATATCATCCAGAGGAAGTAGTTTAAAAATCATCCTCCAAGAGAAAATGGATTGAGACAGTTTAAGAATAATATTCCATAAAAAAGCACCACCCCCATGAACAACCGGGTTTTGATGACAGTTCTTTGGTAATAACTTTCAAAATGGAACCGTTTTGAGTATATACTTGATTCTCCAATAGTCCATCTTTCCCCTATCAAAAGGAATATTAGAGATAATGCATGACCAATACTTATTAACCAATTGCAACAACCTATTACCATCCCAGCCATCAGCATTCCAACATTCTGAAACTTTTAGATTATAGTTATGCTTACCCTCGATCAAGTTTTTAAGAAGGCCCATCAAAGAGCAATCATCCAGTCAAAAGTTAACATCACCTTTACCAATTTCCCAAACAAAAAGAGTTTCAGCATCTTCTTTGATTTTCAAAAACTCATTCCAAATTAAGGAGTCGCCAAGTTTTGAATTGCACATGAGAGGGTGAGTTTTCTTGAAATATTTGTTTCTCATAAATTGTGTCCAAAGACATTTTTGGGCTCTAATTTTAGGCCAATATTTATAGTAATTGATCTCCATTGTTTGATCAAAAGTTTTAAAGCCCAAGCCAAAAATATCATTTTTTGGTTTGCAAAGCTTTTTTCCAAGACAACCAATGAATCCTTTACCATGTCTAGCCCAAAAAGAAAATATTAAAAAGTTTCTCCATTTTATTTTGCATACTTTGTCATCTTTGCAACCTGTTAAGCATATAATGATAAATTAAGAACATGCTCAAAGTTGCTTCCTTGGTTCCTTTGGTTAATGCAATTCAAAGTTGCTTCCTTGGTTCTACTCGTACAGGATTAATGCAATTCAAAGTTGCTCAAAGTTGCTCAAAGTTGCATTAACTAAAAATCAAAGATAGCAATGGTAACTGGCTTTATGACAAAAAGTATAGGAGAAAACAGATCTCCTTGTTTTAAGCCAGTTACCATTGCTATCTTTGATTTTTAGGATGTCATTCTTTTGTCTTCATTGTTTAATACAAGCACGGAAAAGATTTGTGTTACGATGACCTTCCAAATAATTGACATAGCTAGTTTTCTGTTTAAGAAAATTAATTTCAACTTAAATGGCTTCATTAAGTTAATGTTGAGCTTTGACCACTTCCCCTTCCTAAATAAAATCTTTATTAAAGACTTCCTCTATCTGACAAACTAGCTTTTCCGCCTCCATAATTCTATTGCCAATATGCCCGAACACATTCCAAATCCAATGTTTCAACCTGAGAGCAATGTTTCTGTGCATTTCCGTAGCGTTACCCAATAAGAATCGCAAAATTCTGTGTGCCGGTTACTTTTAATGAACTGAAAGTTGTTATGCTTAACCCAGGCATTGAGGAAATTGAATGCCGTGCTAGAGGATTTAATATTAACATCGACCTTAACCAACAAAGGCACATGATCCGAGTCAGTAAAGGTTAAATGTGCAACTTCAGTGATTTGAAAAACTTCAATCCAATTAGTATTGATAAGGACGCGGTCCAGTTTTTCAAAAGTTTCAACTCTCTTTCAAGTGTAAACTTTTCAGTGAATTTGGCTTCAAAAAGATCAATCTTCGCAATATTATTACAAAAAGTTTGCATCAGAGAAATGAAGAAGGTTTACCTCCCTTTTTTTCCATAGGGGAGGCAATAGAGTTGAATCACCCCCAACCAACAAAGGGCCATCCATCATATTACCAATATGTTTTAGATCACTCCAAAGCTCTTCCTTAGCTGATATAATGCAACCAGCATAAATAACTGTTAGATTAAAGATGACAGTTATATAATTTAACACCCAAATGTACGAATTGAAGGTTCACATAACAACTCCGCATCAACCTCTTTTCTTCTAAAGAAACCAGATTTTAAGGTTACAGTTGTAAAAATACTTGAAGGCACCCAATGTTTTAATAGTTTTAGGTAATCGTTGGTTCCAATAGAGCTAGACATCTAAGCTTGTGAATTCGACAAAGATTCAAAATTTTGTTAGAGGCGTGAAGCCTAGCAATACCTCTAACATTTCAAACTAGAAAATTAATCATTACTAGTGGATCTACTCCCCCCTAGTCACTCTAGGGGGAGCCCCATCATTAACATTAGCAATTATACGTGCTGAGGAAGTTTCTTCATGACTTAATACTGCATTTGGATCCATATAATTTAATTCTCTGTGTTTTTCCTTTCCTCTTTGACTTCTGTAACTGCCATTCACCTTGAAGCGTTTCTTTTGCATCCTTCAAATCCTCCATATTAATAACTGGTACAGTGTTTTCTTCCTGATTATCAAACTCCAATTGAGTGGATTGTTGAGTACCAACTATAGAATTGTTAAACCGATCATCTAAATCATTGCCAATAGGACCTTGTTGATGTTCTTAAATCTCGGGATCAGGTTAACAGTTATCCTATCCACCTTCCAGTACAAACTTCAGATCCACATTATCAAGCTTCCCTTGATGTTGTTGCATAAACAATAGTTCACCTTGCGTTTGTAGATTTGGGCCCCTATCTTCCACCCTTTTCCTGTTTCTACAGACATCCTGGCTGGGTCTGAGTTTTGGATGCAGAATAAAATGTTTTTCAGGATTATGCCTAAAGATCTTATACTTAGTGCAGTATTTTGGTTTATATTTCACTTCCATTTGTTGCCAATAGCTTATGTTTTGAGTCCCCAGCCATACTTCCTCCGGCATAGGAAGAGTGATATCTCTCTCTACCATGACTTGCTGCCGAAAGCTGGCTCATGTTGAAAGTAGCCAAATCCACTTTCATAGGTTTGCCAAATATTGCTCTTGATAAAAGATCTTTTTGATTGAAATAGTGCAATCTAAGTCTGGGGAATCTAATCCACAAAGGTATGATAGGTAATTCCATCGCAGGATCAAAATTAAGTGTCCATTTCAGAACCTTCATTGAACATTTTTCATAAACCAATGTTTGCAAAAGATTCTTGTGTAATCCTCCACCTCTTTGAAATTAATGATTATGTCTCCTATCAATGGCTCCATCCTGCCAATCTCTAGCAATTTTTAAACATTCAAAAAATTTCCTCGCAACCTCATATGTAAACTTACCAACCAACGAGGACTTTAAAGGTTCGGCCAAACGTATAGTTTTTTTTTTTCTCTGAGAAAAATAAAGCATGTTTACCTTTTTTTTGTTAGCTTTTTTAAGTAAACTATCTTCACTGTTTTCAGCATATTCCGCAGGAAGAGCTTGTGGATACATAAGAGAAGCAACATTCACTGTGCCTCATTACCTCTAAGAACCACAAGAAAAGTAGATAACGACATAATGACACTACAAGACAAACAGATAGCGAGAAACAATCAGAACCCTGAAAAATGTCAATGGAATAGGAGATGAGAAAAAGGAACAAAAGGCACACGTAGAAAACTAAAAGAGAAACACTAAAGCAAAATATAGAAACCAAAGTGCATTAGAAGTTTACAAGCACAAAACACGAGATTAGAAACCATGCTTTCACCGAAGGATCAAACCCTAGAATCATACGGAGAGAGCCGCGGGAGCCAACAAACCTGATCCATTTTCAAATATATTATATATGCGCATGCGCGCATGCACCTTCAACGTAATATTCGCATGGGTTTATTCTATGTGACTGCTTAAAGTGGCAATTTTTGTGATTTTGTAAATGCTATGCTTCTTTTTCAAGGTGGGATCATTTTCTGTGTTTGTTTTGAGGCACAGAAGCATATTTGGTGGAGGGAAAGATGAATTACAGCAAATAGCACATGTTATTGGCATAAATATGGTATGTATGTCGTCAGCTGGAATTACTTTTCATCATGATTCATTCTGTTTGTTTAGAACGGTGTGGACTGTTATGCAGGTTATAGGTCTCCTCTCTAGAGGCATTGACAACTGGGGCCATGTAAGTGGTGCTTTCACAAGGCTTCATTTGTTTTTTTCAGACTATATTGATTGCTCAAATACACAGCATACTATGATTTTGATTTGTGAGAACCAAAATTTTCATCCAGTGGGATTACAAACATAAATATAAATAACCATTCGGTTTGATCTCATTGTTGCACCACTTTATAGAAACTTGTCCATTTTATTGAGAGTGATGGCTTCATTGCACGATGCAATGGTCTGATAATCCAATTGTTAACTTTGGTTGGATTTCAGTTGGGCGGGTTTTTGGGCGGAGCAGCGGTGTCATGGTTTCTTGGGCCAGCATGGAGACGCGAGTCCCGTTTCGGTGATGGTAGATTCATCTATTCTGACATAGCTCCCATCACCCGTTTTATTGGTGGCAGGAAGATGCAGTAGTTCCAATATTTATGTTTTCTTAGTGTTCTAAGTGAGTTAGAGAGAGCAGATTTCGTGGACTCATAATTTCTGTAGAGCATAACATATAGAAAATGTGATGTTATTTTGTGTTAAAAAAATTTTAACATTATACTTTAGAATTTGAAGGAGCTTGTTGAGTTTAAATTTAATGTGCGTTTGAAATTATGTAAAAAGGTTTTAGAAGGGGCAGTTACCTACCACCCCATTTGTATGTATTTACATAACTAATACCTAAATTTTACTTTTGATATTTATATCAATCAAATTGTTCTATCACATAAATAATACAATGATTTCAACTTAAAAAAATGGGTAGTTACACTGTTTTTTGCATTGGGTGGTATGCATGTTAAAATTGAAGTTTAGGTGTTAGATTTGTAAATGCATAGAAATTGGTGCTATGTATGTTGTTACTGTTGGCTGCCGTTATCGGGATGTCAAATTTTATTCCAAGTTAAAATATAACAAAAAAAAAAAAAAGGTGAAAAATAGAAGTAATCACAATGGCATTTACTTCTTTGGATTCAATTTTAAATATGATTTCAAGGAAGATTTAAATATATACCGCTTAATTCTTTTATTTTTGCATGTATGCCATCTTAATTATGCAGTATTTTATTTCTTAAAAATTGAATTAGTGATATAATTTTTTATGTAATATGAAATATTTGGGAGTTACATAGGTAAATGATAAAATTTAGTAGTACATGTAAGAATTTGGTGATATGTATGTAAATGCCCCTAATTTCACTTATTTTCTATTATAAAATATAAATTGTTAATTGGCCTTTACATTAGTTTGAATTAGTTTTTTTTTAAAATATGAATTTCGAGTGAAATTGTTGAGTTTTGTTAAAAAAAAAAAATTTGTTTGAAATTCTTGAAATAATTTAAAAAATTAAAATAAATAATGGATTTTTAAAAATAAACCGCAATCAATGCAATTGAACCAAACCTGTGAAAATTAAAACTCACTGTTGAGTTTTATGACTGCTCATTCAAAAAGTAAAATAAAATATCGGTTGTATACATTTAGCAAACTTTGTCATTAGTTATGTGGCCAATGACTTGCAAGTAGCATCTGTCGATATTTTGCCTTTCCCAACTTCTACAGTTGTAGGAAGTCTCCAGTCCTATTTTAACAAAAAAAAAAGGATATGATTGTCCAACTTATTGTTAAAATTGTAAAATATAGTGAAATTTTAGGGATGTGCTTGTTTCAGATGTAGCTGTAGAAAAGCTGATTTCAAAAGTTGGTGTTGAAAATAAGCTGTTCAGAAGCTAGTATTTCAAAAGCAGTTAGTCTATATGAAAAAAAATAGTTCTAAAAAAGTTGTTTGTGGACATAATGACTGTAATGCCCCTAAGCATATAAACACAAATCAGTTTAAACTGTTTGGAAAACTCTGAAAGTGCTTCTATCAAAACAATTTTTTTGATAATTTATTAAGTTATTTTCACTTAGAACAACATAATAAAGCAAATAGAAGTGGACATTAACTGGATCATAAGAAATCATCAAATTATGCCCGCCAATAGCAGCACAATCACAAGAAATTGTGATAAATCAAATGGTACAAAAAATAAGTTTGCTAAAAAAATAGAAACCTAATGCTGTATTGTTTGTTTTCCAGAATACAATTACATAATCAAAACATATGCAACACTAACGGTAATAAAAATAATGCTACAATCATAAAATCAAACAAAAGTAAAGTTCTCACAAAGAACTTCTAGTCTCCAACATCATTTTTCACCGTATCATTTAATGCATATATCCTTTCGTCAGCTCACTCTTGTGGTGCATCTCTCAGTTTTTAAACCAACTGGAAAAATTTGCAATATCTATTTATTAATCTCTTTGGACATCTTATGGTGCATCTCTCGGCTCATCAACCCCTTTTGAGCAGTGAAAATAATGCATAATAGATTGCAATCACAAAAAATCGATTGATGTTTGCTCCCCTTAATGCTAGTTGAGTTGCTTGAGCTCATATTGGGTTGTACAATCCTGTACAATAATGATTAGAAAAAGAATAACAAATTTCATTGTTTATACAAAAAAAAAAAAACTAGACCCTTAATGTAGGGGATTTTGGTTGTTAGAAATCCTTAAGTCCAAATTTGTGCAGACCTAAACACATATAAAGAATGCCATCCAAAAGATCTCCTTATGATCACTCTTACTAAAGCCAAATTATCTACCATAGCCTTTTACTACTCTCAATGTCAATACTATGTTGTAGAAGGGTGTTAAATCAAACACCAGAAGCTTAAAAACTGTTACATAAATCAAAAGACAAAAAAATACCACCCATAATCATATAAAAATACATAAGTGGCATGCATATGTAAATATATAAGATTTGAGTGGCATGCATATAAAAGGAGATCACTTAAAAATCATTTTAACAACACGCATAACACCAACTATAACAACCACCGTAGCACCAAACATAACACCAACCATAACAGGAACTATAAAAACAACATTGGACTGGTAACTGTCCAAATGCCTCAACCATTCTAAATATTTGTATAACAAATGTGCATTCATTGATCGTATTAAAAATGTCAACTTAAAATTGCATTAGCAAACAAATGCACACCACCAAGTTCCCATTCAAACTGTTTGTTTTTTTACCCACTCTCGCAATGCAACCATCTCTTCCACACCTTCTCCATCACCAATGTTGGTATTGATGATATCATCATTAATTTTGTAGAAATGATTTGCCTAAGTCATATTCATATGCTTCCAAAGGCACTGATTCATTATCATCTACACTTGTGATGCCAATGTCAAAATGCGAAGGATGGTGTGGTATGTAATTATGAAGTGTCATTGTTGCGGCTACAATTCTAGCTTGTTTCTCAAACGTATATGTTGGGAAAATTTTCAATTTATGGTGGCAAGAGAAATTGTGTTAGGGCATAAGATTTTAGAAATTGGCATGGAAGTAGATCCAACAAAAATTCAAGTTGTTGAATTGCCACCTCCTACGTTTGTGAGAGGGGTAAGAAGTTTTCTGGGACATGCTGGGTTTTATAGGCAATATATTAAAGATTTTTCTAAAATTTCCAAACCTCTATATCACTTTTAGAAAAAGACACAAACATTGGTTTTAATGAGGAATGACTAAATGCCTTCAATTTATTAAAAGAAAAATTAATCACTGCACCTATTATATTTCACCAAACTGAGAAAAACCTTTTGAATTAATGTGCGATGCTAGGGATTATGCTATTGGAGCTGTATTAGGGCAATGATACGATAAAGTTTTTTAAGGTATATATTATGCCAGTAAAACCCTTAATGAAGCTCAAATTAATTATACCACTACTAAAAAGGAATTGTTGGCTATAGTATATGATTTTGAAAAATTTAGACCTTATCTTATTGAAGCTAAATGTATTGTGCATACTGATCATTTTTCTATTAAATATTTAATGATGGAGAAGGGTGCAAAGACATGATTAATTAGATGGGTTTTTTATGATGTAATAATTTAATTTTTAAGTTGTGGATAGGAAGGGTACTAATAATCAAATAGCCGAGGCTTGAACAGGAAAATAATGCTAACTTTAATGATGAAATAAATAAAAATTTTTCTCATGAACAACCATATAAGATTAGTGAATAGTGAATCCAGTGGTATGTTGTTATAGTTAACTATTTAGTTAGTAACATCTTACCCTATGGATTAGATAGCCATCAAATAAAAATTTCATTCATAATTAAAAATTTTACTTTTGGGACTACCCTTATTTATATAAGTAATGTAAGAATTTAGTAATTTGAAGATATGTACTAATTGAAGAAAGCTGAGAGATTATTCAAAAGTGTCACGAATCAGATTCTGGGGGACATTTTGGGGTTGATAAAACTGTATTTAAGATTTTATAATCTGAATTTTAATGACCTATTTTTTTAGGGATGTTAATAATTATATAAAAACTTATTATCAATGTCAGAGAGTAAACAATATTTCTAGAAGAAATAAAATGCCCCAAAATTTTACTTTGGAAGTTAAAATTTTTATGTTTGGGATTTACATTTTATGTGACCATTTTTACCATCTTCTGGAAAAAAATGTAATTTGATAGTTGTGGATTATGCTTCTAAATGGATTGAAGCTGTTGCTTTACCCCGATGTGATGCTAAGAGTGTTGAAAATTTTTTAAAGAGAAATATTTTTATTGGATTTGGAATGCCAAGAGTAATCATTACAGATGGGAGAAGAAATTTTAATAATAGAACCATTGGAGCATTAACTCAAAAGTATGGAATTAAGTATAAAATCACTGTAACATATTATCCTCAAGCTAGTGGTCTAGCTGAAGTATTCAATCAACAAATTAAACAAATATTGGAAAAAACTGTTAATCTTAATAGGAAGGATTGGCCTGCTAGGCTAGACAGTGCTTTATAGACATATAGAACAGCAGATAAAACTACAATAGGAATGTCACCATATAGGCTCATATTTGTTAAAGCTTGTCACTTACCAGTAGAGATTAAGCATAAAACTTATTGGGCTATAAAGAATTTAATTATAATTTGAAAGATGTTGGAGAGAAATAATTATTGCAATTAAATAAGCTTGATGAAATAAGAAATGAATCTTATGAAAATACTAAAATCTATAAGAAGCAATGAAAATGTGGCATGATAAGAGAGTTTTGAAAAAATATTTTGAGGCTAGACTAAGTTTTATTGTATAATACAAGACTGAAATTATTTTCAGGAAACTTAAGTCCAGATGGAAAGAACAAATTATTGTGATAACAGTCTATCCTTATGGAGTCGTTGATATTGAAGATCCAAAACAGAAAAAATGATTAATGTAATTGAAAAAAGATTGAAACCTTATATAAGCAAAATTAATCCTACATTTGAGGATGTTCTGATGCTAGGTCAACAAGAGTAAAAAAATTGGATACATCAGGCTGACGACGTTAAATCAAGCGTTTTATCAGAGGCAAACCATAGTTATTAGTGTGGATTGATTTGATTTGGTGATTGTTGTTATGTTGAGTTCATGATGTTATTTGGAGACTTGCATGATTAAGTTGGCTCAAAACATTAATTTAATGATTATGGAGAGGATGAGAC